AACAAATCAGACATTCTGATTGGTCAGAATGATTGGTCAATGTCAATATCAAGGTCAATGTCAAGGTCAATGTCACTTGCAGGGTTTGAATAAATTATTTTTGCACGTGATGCGCGCGCTTTTCTTCTGCGTAGTTATGAGAAGCTACCTCGTATTTTTTCATTATATTATTAATAGATAATCACATGATTTTCTCGTGCAGTTTGGATTAAATAAGCACTTGTAAATTTTTTCAAAGACCACAAATTGCACTCACCCTACGGGCTCATGCAATTTTGGAAGTCTTTGAAAAAATTTACTCGTGCTTATTTATTCCAAATTGCACTCGAAATCATGTGATTACCAGTACAACCTTCCTTATTATCATTACATTTGTGCGGCCTTGTGGTTGACCACTATTTTTGTGGAGATTTGGGAACCCTTTCACGTGGGATTCCATACTTTTACACCTGCAATGTCACAAAGGCTGCTAGATGAATTAATTGCATTGATAATTTTTTTTTTCTAATACACATGTTAATCTGGTCACGCAAGTTCCCCTCCTCCCCATGGGAGATACGTTGTGTGACAAGAAGGAGATTATGCGTGGTAAATTTAATTGATGCGTTTGCTTTTAGGTGCTTGTGGTCAGACAACGACAAAGGGTTCGAAAAAGTCTCAAATTTATATCGCGAGAGAATTGGCCCAGAGCGAAATTGAGCATCAGACATTACAAGATCCTTATAGTTGTTCTTCAACTTCATTATAGGGTTCAAAATGGTTTGACTCACTCGACTCCCGCAGTTTACACTAGGGATTCTGATAAGTATCAGTTAAAGATAGCAGCTATTCCTCATGTAACCCAAAGCCTGAGCAGTGGCGGATCCAGGGGGAGGGTCCGGGGGGTCTGGACCCCCCCTATCAGGCCTGACGCTTACAACTTTGAGACTGAAACTCTTACATCGACAGGATCGTATATCACTTTTTAACTGGCTAGTAAACGGTCAGCGGCCAAGGAATTGTAACGTGCGACCGCGACTGATGGGAGGGGGAGTGGGGGGTGTTGGAAAGAAGTAATTTGCCTCAAAAGAGTCCAACAGTCCTTTCTGAACCAAATTTTGGACCCCCCCATCCAAAAATTCCTGGATCCGCCCTTGGATTGTATATCAAATACAGAATCTTGAACAATCAGAATTTTCATCATTCGCAATGGGGTGAACCGTTAGCCGTAAAATGGCCGAAAAATTCAACCTACATGAATCTATTTGAACCTTAATTTAGACGAAAAAATGTACAAATTTAATTTATTTCTCGAAAGTGTCAATTTGCGTTAACCATTAGCTGTAAAACTGTATGAATTTCTTTTTGTCTCATTGAGACCCCCCCTCCCTCTAACAAAAGATAAAGCACATCTTTCAAAGAAGCGTTTGATGAATATGTCCTAGCTACTTTTGACCAAAACCTGCGGGTACAGAGATTTTTTCTTCCTCCTTTCAAATCCTAAAAATATTTCTTTTCTTCAGCTGAATCATCGTGCAAATGAGTTAAAATCCCAATTTACATATAAAATAAATTTTCCAGGCTAAAATGATATTGAAATATTGGGCTCTGTTTAAAGAAGTTTTACGTAGCAGGTTTTCTCGTCACTCGGTGAAAACAAAGGCGGTGTAATCGCGAAAACTTGCAGCAGAGGTTCACAGGTTGTCTAATCTCAATGTCCTCCGCTCCTAACCTTATACGGCTTCGCCACTCATTTTCATGGCTCCACCACCTCATGCTCCTAAGTAAACGCAAAACCACCTCCCACACAAGCTACTTCTAAATAATTTTTTCAAGCTAGTTAACAGCTTTCCCTCTGAGTAAAAATCCAAGGTTTAATTAAGATGTAATTTGGGTGTGTCACGTCTTACTTATACAAGCATATAGTTGTTATGTAACCGTGAACCTACAGATGCCACGTTTGCTTCGCGTTATGCAAATTGCCTTTCGTTTACGAAAAAAGGAAAAACGTCCCACCTTTCATAATGAGTATTGGTTCCCTGTGACTAAATTAAGCCGGTTAACAGAATATATTAGCGAACAAGGCGGAAGAGATTTTGGGGGGTTAAAATTCCTTCAGAAACGATGGGGATCTTCTACATGTGAGAAAGAATTCACAGTCCTGATCTCCGGGAAAGGTAGACCT